TTGTACAATAAGATAGTTTTGCCTTGAAAAGCCTTCTTAGTCTACGGATTCTTAAATTACCCTGGCTAAGAGTATTTGGAGGAGGGACACTGAGGGAGTTGTGAATGAAAGAGAATAAAAAAGAAGGCCATAATGGGCGAGTGGATGGGTTACCACATTTTCTACTTCCAAGTGTGGGCATTTCCTGCCACCATGTGCCCAGGATTCCACTTTATTTTTTTTCATTCTTTTTAAAAATTATTTTATTGATTAAGGTATATACCAGGCTTCCATTTTAAAATGATCAACAATATACTCAGTTCCCTCCAGAAAACCAAAGGTTTTATACTGCTGGAAAACAAATAATGCAGGATTCAATGTGCTAAACATCAAGTTTAGAAAATAATAATCTTTAAGCTTATGAAGTTAAAAATGGATTAAAAAAACAAAAGTAAAAAGGATGCAAAAAGCTATGGTAATGCTAACATACCTCTGAAAAATAACTCAAACAATAAATGTTAAATAATTCAGACTATACAGAAATAAATTTCATAAAGAATACTTAGTGCCAAAACCGGTTTGGCTCAGTGGATAGAGCATTGGTCTGTGGACTGAGGGGTCCCAGGTTCGATTCCGGTCAAGGGCATGTACATTGGTTGTGGGCACATCCCCGGTGGGAGGTGTGCAGGAGGCAGCTGTTCAATGTTTCTCTCTCATCGAAGTTTCTAGCTCTCTATCCCTCTCCCTTCCTCTCTGTGGAAAATCAATAAAATATATTAAAAAAAAAAAAAGAATACTTAGTATGGTGAAATCAACAATGTTTCCATATTAGTAGGTATAGAAATATTTTTAAAAAGCATTTGCAATAAATTCCAACTCTGTTAATGGGCATTTTGCCAGAATACTATATTGTGCACAGGGGGTGGGGGGTGGGGGTGTCTCTCACCCTCTCCAGTCGGGGACCCGGTAGGATTGGGCCTAAATGGGCAGTCGGACATGCCTCTCAGAATCCAGGACTGCTGGCTCCCACTGCTCGCCTGCCTGTCTTCCTGATTGCCCCTAACCATTTCTGCCTGCCAGCCTGATCATTCCCTAACCATTTCCCTGCCAACCTTGACTGATGCCAACTGCTCCCCTGCCAGCCTGATTGCTCCTAACTGCCCTCCCATGTAGGCCTGGTCCCCCACAACTGCCCTCCCTTGCAGGCCTGATCACCCCTAACTGCCCTCCCCTGCAGGCCTGGTACCCCCAACTGCTCTCCCCTGCAGGGGTCCTCAACTGCTCTTCCCCTGCTGGCATCTTGTGACAGCCATCTTGTATGTTGGAGTGACAATCAATTTGCATATTGCTCTTTTATTAGACAGGAGAAGCCCAGTGACCAAACAATGGAATAACCAGACCAACCAACCAGTCGCTATGATACACACTGATCACCAGGAGTTGCCCCCGGTGGTTAGTGTGCTACCACATTGGGAGTGCTGCTCAGCTACCTGGAAGAGTGGTGCTCCCACAGCCAACTACACCCCCCACCAGTGCATGAATCCAGTGCAACGGGCCTGTCCATGCATATACTGACTTCTAAGTGCTTCATGCATTAGAACACATTAAGGAAGCATTATTAAGCCTGCTAGATTATGGAAATTCTCTCCCTATAACTAAATTATCATAAAGCTAATTAAAGTAAGTCTCTGCTAGTATCTATGTTCTCATACACACATCCACAGATACCTAGGTAATACTAAATGACTTCCATGTAAAACAATACATGGATTGGATTCTAAATTCATATTATAATTTCATACTGCTTTCCAAGATAGCAAAAGGATGAGGGTAAGCCTTGCTCAGGCATATTATCTTTCTCTGCAGGCATTATTCCCTGGCTATTCACAGCTGCATTGTTAATGCTCTTTAATTTTAATAAGCCTGTTCAATTCTAAAGCCTGCTTTCGGAATGTGTGCTCAGTTCCTGCTCTTTTATGCTTGACTTGTCCACACACCTGAGAGAATTTTCTATTTTAATTTTCATTCATAATCCTTTTTTAAAAACATCATAAATTTGAAAACGACTATCTGAAAACACAGCCAAATAAATCTTCTCCTATTTATAGCATCCAGAAAATCCAAAATTATCAAGTCTGAATGTGCTTCTAAGGCTCAGCTTTTGTCAATATATCCTTAGGATCAAGAAATGTTTTGTCTTGTATTTTGCATATACAGAAATAAAACAAAAAGACCCCACAAACATATATTCTACTTTTTCATTAAGTTTTAGGTTGCATATACAATTTTAAAATACTATCTTTGTCATCTATCATCTACCGACCTATCTACCTACCTATCAATCAATCATCTGGTATAATCCAGTGCCACTAAAGAAGCAAATCTCAGCAGGATAACATCAAATATGGTTTAGTCATTAAAATAAATCTCAAGAGTGAAGGTATTTAAGAAGATCCAATTCTTGGAACAATGTAAGGAAAAAAGAATGGTCCTAAGAAGCTAAAATTGAAGTGTCCCTTTCATGGATTTAGTGCAAATTCTCTCAGAGAAATTAATCAATTTCACTATGGAGTGGTTGCTAGGATACCCCTCAAAATCTATCAAAGTAAGCTTTTTACTCAAAAGGGTTGGGCAGGGTTCCCATTGTTTCAAAATGATTTTGAAAAACAGGATGGGTGTTCATTCTCTTGGGTTTTATCTAAGTGACAAAACAGGTGAATAAATGGCCTGTATGAAAAAAAAAATATTAACTTCAAGGTTTTTAAAAATAATTATACACTCTTATATGACATACGTTAAAAGTAAGCTTGTCCAAGTTCACAATCTGAAAAGAAGAAATAAAACTCAAATGGACAAAATAAAAGGCAAATGGACAATTAAAAATTCCTTCCAGGTAGTGAAGGGCCTGTTACTGCAGGAAGCAAGAGTTCATATTTATAGTGGACCTATTATTTGCCAGGCGTCACCCTAAATGTCTTTTTTTTTTCTCTCTGAAAGTAGTAGCACAGGTGCTTTAAGCATTTCACTTTTTGAATTTAATTAGTAAAAACACACACACAGTTCTGGCCAGTGTGGCTCGGTTGGTTGGGTGTCGTTTTATGCATCCAAAGGCTGCCAGTTGGGTTCCGTCAGAGCATGTGCCTGGGTTGTGGGCTCCATCCCCAGGAGGCGGTGTGCAGGAGGCAGCCAAATGACGTTTCTCTCTCTCTCACTCTTGTTCTTCCTTTCTCTATAAGAAAATCAATAAAAACATGCTAAAAAAAAATTAGCTCTTCTACAGGAATATTTATGTCCAGTTTCATTAGAAGGCAGGCTGGGAAAGATGATGAAACATTTTGGAAAGGACAGTAAAAATATGACTTCTGGAATCACGGGTACACAGTAAAGAAAAGGCTGCAGCAAAGTACATGGAAAGACGCAAACCTTTAAAGAAAATAAGTCTCACCCTTGACAGTTGCTCAGTGGTTAAAGCGTTGGCCTGTGGACTGAAAGGTCATGGGTTCGGTTCAGGTCAAGGGTAGGAAAACAAAAACACCCTCCTTTTCCAATGACTTCGGGAGAGACCAATGCCGTAGAGCAGTAGTTGGCAAACTCATAGTCAACCAAGTATCAACAGTACAACGATTGAAATTTCTTTTGAGAGCCAAATTTTTTTAAACTTAAACTTCTTCTAACGCCACTTCTTCAAAATAGACTCGCCCAGGCTGTGGTATTTCGTGGAAGAGCCACACTCAATGGGCCAAAGAGCCGCATGTGGCTCTTGAGCCGCAGTTTGCCAGCCACGGCCCTAGAGTGTAGAAATAATTTACCAACTCTAGAGAGAAGTGAGAGTGAAGCTCTCTAACTGGTTTGGCTCAGTGGATAGAGCATCGGCCTGTGGACTGAAGGATCCCAGGTTCAATTCCGGTCAAGGGCATGTACCTTGGTTGCAGGCACATCCCCAGTAGGATGTGTACAGGAGGCAGCTGACCGATGTTTCTCTCTCATCAATGTTTCTGGCTTTCTCTCTCTCCCTTCTGTCTGTAAAAAATCAATATAAAATGACTAATTAAAAAAAAACCTTTAAAAAGTGAGAGTGAAGTAACAATTTTCAGGCAATTATAAGACTTACAAGCAGCAGCAACTAAGAATGATGGAAGTCAATGCATCCAGGGAAATAATAGTTAATACTTATACAAATTTACTATTTCCCAAGTTCTGTTAAGACCACTTTGCTCTTTAACAGGCACAACCTGGGGTTGGTACTATTAGCCCACATTTGTCAGTTAGAAAACATCAGAAAAGTTAAGTAACTTGCCAGCAGGCACGCTGCACCTGTCAATCAGTGTAGGACAGAGTCATAAAACTGCCGGTGGAATCAACATATCCAATTTAAATTAAAACTTCAAATTCTTTTATCTGAAAATATCAGTGTTTAAAGAATTGAAAAACAAACAAAAAAACCACCAACTGCTTCCCTCAAAACAAGTCCTATTATAGCAGGCAATTTGGTAAGTTAAAAAAAAAAAGCCTATAAAATTGACAAAATATTCTATCTTTAGAATCTATACTAATAAAAGGATAATATGCTAATTAGACTGGGAGACCTTCCAGACAAAGCTATGGTAGAGGGGCCGAGGCAGAAGTGGTTAGGGGCAATCAGGCCAGGAGGGAAGGGCAGTGGGGGTGATCAGGCAGCAGGGGTGTGTGGGGTGTAGTTGGGGGCAAGCAGGCCAGCAGGCAGTGTTTAGGGGTGATCAAGCAGACAGGCAGGTGAGTAGTTAGGAGGCAGCGGTCCCTGGATCGGGCCTAAACTGGCAGTTGGACATCCCCTGAGGGGTCCCAGATTGGACAGGGTGCAGACCAGGCTGAGAGGGACCACCCTTCTCGCGCCGCACCCCCACCCCACCGCTGTGCATGAATTTTTGTGCACCAGGCCACTAGTAGTTATATAATAGTTGTAGTCAACAAACCAGCATATGCTTACTATCTGCATCTTCCTAGGACTTAAATTGTTTATTTTAGAAATAAAAACATGGCGAGGGGAGACAGTACATTTTATTGTAAAATATGAAGCAGCAATGATTCAAACATGTTTGAGTTTTTGCTAGCCAGAGCACAAAATGACTGGATATCCACCAAGCTAAAAACAAAAACAAAAATAAAAACAAAACAAAAAAAAACGCCATGAAAAGGTCATATTAAAATCTCTTTCTCTTGATAATTTCTGGTTTCCAGCTGATTGGATGAGTTTCTTCTGTCTAAAAATAGAAAAGTAGTAAGAAAATAAAGTATTAGTTTTCTTCATATTTAGTAACATCCTTCCTAAAAAAATAAGATACCTATTCTACATTATATTACTTGGCATTATATATTTAAGTTATTTAACAATTTCAGGAACAGTTGGCAAACTTTTGGGGTTATCTGAATCTAATAATGAGTGGATTCACTACAAATCTAGTTTATGTTTTTTCATTTCAAATAAAATTGCTATGTAGATACTCTAGTAAAACCAAAGCTGATGATTCTACAATTCATTTGCATAGCAATCCATTTGCTGTTGTTCTTTTTGCAACACTTGCCCGGTAACTATAATAAGAAAAGTTGGATGCATGGATTCATTGGTATCAATAAGACCAATATAGAAAGCTATGAGCTGACACTACTCCAGATGATAAATACTTTTACGCTATAAATATTTTCCCTTCTGATAATTTCAGTAACTTTAAAATGAGAATGTACTTGCAAAATTGGTACAGTTGAATTACTTTAACATGCACATGAAACTGAGAACTTACCGCTGTGTCATCCTCTCTGTACACTTTAATAGTTTTATCAGCTTCAGCCGTTAGTAACCGACTTTCAGATTGATCAAAAGCACAAGCAAATATTCCTGATTCACTGTCCAAAGACCCAGGCTGCACAGCTGCATGAACTCTCTGGAAATTATAGCCAGTTCTCCAATCCCAAAGATGCATGGTTCCATTGTCAGCTTAAAGGGAAATAGCTAGTTAAGTTGGGTATCCCTTTAACAATTCAGCTTGGCAAGCAATAAGCATGAACCATCAGCTGAGCACAATGGCAATAACTATAATTATGAAGATATATATGACAAAGGCACTCAAGCTTCTCTTAATATTGGTTTGCTCACTTACATTTGTGTTTAATTCAGAATTTATTACAGACCTCAAAAAGCACCACAAAATGACATCCAACTCCAGAATATGAAACCAGCATAAATCCCAAACTTAAGATTTATCACGTGGAAACTCAGAGAAGGCTGAACTATGAAATATGCTACATGTATGATGAATATGCATGAACACACATATAAACATTCACATATACATTAGGCAAGATCTGCTATAATATTTAGGTGTGAGGGCCTAGAAATTTTACAAATATTTCCTCATTCACTAAAACAAACAATGACAGACTAAAACAAACTTATCATAAAAATCTTTTTACCTCCAGATACGAGCACTCCATCAGAATTTACTGTCAATGTGTTAATAATAGCATTATGACCAGAAAGATTTTGAATGAAACTTCCATCAGGGAATTTCCATTGTTTTATGTTATCTGGAGAACCAGATGCAAATGTGTAACTGAAATAAGATTAAAAACAGCAACAAAGTAAACCAAGTAAAAAAAATAAAATGGTAGTCAAAAAGCTTATTATGTTGTTGTATTTAGCATGTATATTCAGTGATCTATGTAGTGTTAGCCAAAGATTATTGTCATACCAAGAGGTAAAAATACCAAGACATTTATTCCAAGCTAAGTCAGATTTTCAAATTATTTTAAATGAGTTTTGAGGCCTAGATTAATGTTTTATTTTCCTCTCGTTTCCCCAATGACCTGTACTGAGCTAGAACAATAAATGTGAAAACCCTTAAATTCATAAAAAGGGAAGGGGTTGTGAAACTATTTTGGAGGGACAGGGAGATAAGAGGACAACCCAAGGAAAGATACAGAAGGGAAGAGGAAGGGAGAGAGAAAGGGAGAGAAAGAAAGGGAGTAAAGAACACAGGGAAAGGAAAAAAGTAGGAGAGAGGGGGTGGAGGGACAAAAAGGGAGAGGAAAGAGAGAAAACACATGAATATGGCCAGAAAATGTCAGGGTGATGTGATATAACAAATAATAGCTTGGGATATTATGCTCCACCTCTTTAGATACCCTGACTATAATAATGTTCATTGTTCCTACCCTTTTTTCCTATGTATATTAACTTCCCCCTTAAGAACTAAACTATTCTATGTATATCTCAGTGTACAATAAACAACACTTATGTCCAAAACATTAAATCTAGCTACTCTTAGCTTCTATTTTGACATCCAGTTTTTAAAAGTGACTTGTTCATATAGTTTCATTTGACATTATCATTATTTACCATGTAGAAAACTTCATCTCATATAAGGCATGAAGCAAAATACCACTTAAAGAAAAGTCCTGTAAATGAGTGTCTAAATGACTACAAAGCAGTACTAACGTTGGTATTCCTATATTATACCAAAAACTGAAGGAAGGAGAGAAACTCATTAGAAAAACACACTTACTGTCTTGGATGTAACACCACAGCTCTCACTGATTTTTTGTGATTTGTTAATGTGACTCTTGTTTTTCCAGCCACCAAATCCCATAATCGTATTGTAGTGTCATGGCTTCCTGTAATGAAAATTCGTATCCCCAAAACACAGATCAGAAAAAAAAGAATGCAAAACTATAATAAAATATGAAGTGTTCTCTCATAGACACATACATACAAAATGGAAGTCATATAAACCCTTGGCTAGTTGCTTTGTACTTCCAAAATTTTAGGTTCCTTTTAAATCTAATTCTTGAAAAAAATGTAGACCTGACCCACATGACTCAATGGACAGGGCTGGCCAGTGCACAGAAGGATCACAGGTTAGATTCCCAGTCAAGGGTAGGTTCTACCCCAGCCCCCGTTAGGCATATGTGGGAATCAACCAAATGATGTGTCTCTCTCACATCAGTTTCTCTCTCTACCTCCCTCTCCGCCTCTCTCCCTTCCTTCCTCCCTCCCTTATACTCTCATAAAAATCAATGAAAAATTATGCTTGGGTGAGAATTAACCACAATAAAAATGTAATATATGCTTGATGTGCTGTCAACTGAACAGCCTGAACAAATGCCAATAACAGATAAAACACATACATGATGTTATCCCCTAGTGGAGGGGAAGGAAAAAACTCAAATGGTATTTTAGTTAATAAAATACATCACAGAAATTTCTAGTTTTAGAGTAAAGATCCATTGTTATTAACTTTAATTAAAACAAGCCTCAAACCTGTTTTAAAGATTACTGATGTCAGGATATCTTGTCTTCTAATTTTAATTTTCTAAACCAGTAATTCTGATGCTAGTCAGACATTACATAAGACTGTGTAAGATATAGTCTATAATATGTAAAAAGTCTGACATGATAACAGAATAAAATATTATTATAATAAATTTCAAATGTACACAGAAACACAGAATACACAATACAAAGCGAGAGTCACAGCAAGTATGAAAAATACATGTACAATAATGTGTTGATATGAATACATGGTAAATTTGAAAGTATTGATTTTACCAGTAATAATTTGTGGTTCTGCAGCTTGACACCTCACTGTAGCAACTGCATTTGTATGTCCAGATAATGTATGTACACTGGCTTTAGTTCTCACATCCCAAATCTATAAAAAAAAAAACACCCACATACAATAGACATCCTGTCAAAGAGAATAGGTATCCATAACTCAGGCAGGTAACTACCGTATTTTTCAGACCATAAGGCGCTCCGGACCATAAGACGCACCAGTTTTTAGAGAAGGGAAATGAAGAAAAAAAGATTCTGAAACAAAGTGTCCTAAAATATTTTATGTGCATTAAAACCCAACATCACAGTCATAAACACATGTAATCAACCCTATAAAGTAAACAGCAGCATTTAGAACCATTTTAGAGCCGGGCAAGCACACAGAGACCACACAGAGCCGGGCAAGTAAAAAAACTTTTTTTTTAAAAGTATATGTGTAGGCTATATTTGGACCATAAGATGCAGGGACTTTCCCCCCCCACTTCTGGGGGGAAAAAAGTGCGTCTTATGGTCCGAAAAATACGGTAAATGAACTCAAGCTTGGGAATTTAATACGTAATAGTGCCTGAATATAAAGAAAGCCTTACATGAGAAAGAATAATCTCAAAGCTGGCTGGGGGCTATATATAGGAGACAGCTGATGGGGGCAGGGGGGTGGAGGAGGGGGGAATTAAAAGAGTAGGAGACTGAATGTGTAAGAAGAGGTATAATGGAACTACTAAATGAAACCTGCAATGGCAGAACGGATTGTGAGAGTGTCACATTTCAGAGGCAGGGCGTTCCCAATAAGCTTGGTGAGGTCACAGAACTGAACATGAAAGTGTAAAAACAAGTCAGGAAACAGAGGGATTAGGTTATTGGCGGGTCAAAGTAACTATCTTTAATTCTTTACCAAACAATATGTGACTCCAATACCACATATGTAAAGTATAAAATGCAATGTATTTAAAGATAAACACCAAGCTCTATTCCATTTACCCGTGCAGTTGAATCACGACTACAGGTTACCAGCACATCAATTGTTGGGTGCAAATCCAGACCATACACTGCACTCAGATGTCCATGATAGTGCCTTATAACCTACAAATATAGCAGGAAAGTTAAAATTTCTATAATTAGAAAGAAAATCCATGCCTCATAATATGTAGAGTTTTTGTTTCTTCAATTCAAGTCTGAGCTCAGGTCAAGTGTAGAAACCTTCATTATTACAAAGGTCAGTAGTCAAACCTTTTCATCATTGCTCAGAACTGATCAGGTTTTCAAATACATATGTCCCTATCTCCCCACCCCAATCTCATTCATCCATCAGCAAAGTCCTCAGTTATCCACTGTCACCTTCACACACACACACACACACACACACACTCTCTCTCTCTCTTATTGTTTTAAATTACTTTATACTTTTGCTTCTCAGAACTAGATAGATCATGCATCAGGTGGACTGGAAGGTCTTCTGATGCTCAGATTTGGCTATTTTCATCATTGATCCACTTCAGTAGGAGCAGATCTCAGAGAATCACTATTTTCAATACTTATATCCAAGCTTACCTTATTATATTCAAGATCCCAGCATTTGACCTGTTTGTCTTCTCCACAGGAAAACAGGTATGGGCTCCTTGCGCTTACTATCACACCACGAACTGTACTAATATGCCCAGTTAATGACAGTTTTAATTTGCCACTAGCCAAGTCCCAGATCTGCAATCAAAGAATATTTCATTTTTTTCCTTGCTGGTTATCCCAAAACAAAATTTTAAGATCCTGATATTAAAATTAAGTCTTCAAAATGTGAAAGATATGAACATATAAATTTTCTTATTTGCCAACCCCCTCGCCCTCTTCCAACTACTAAAAATAAAAGCAGGAGAGAGATCAAAATTAAAAGGCATGCTCAAACTGGGAAAATATTGGTAACAGATGACAAAAAATTAATACTCTTTATATAGAATGGATATCGTTGTTAACAAAAGTGTGAATGTTATGGTATTAAATTAGCCAAGGAAGGCAACTTTAAAAAAAACCCTAAGGAGTCTGGCTGCAGTAGCTCAGTTGGTTGAGCATTGTCCTGTGCACCGAAAAGTTCCAGATTCCATTCCTGATCAGGGCTCAGACCTGGGTTTTGGGTTTGATCCGGTGGGCAGGCTCACCAAGGGCAACCTATCAATGTGCCATTGATGTTTCTCTCTCTCCCTCTAAGCATATCCTCAGGTGAGGATTAAAAATAAAACAAAGAACAACCTCTAAGGAAACTAAGTGTTCATTAACTGATACATGCATAAAGAGAATGTGGCATATATACATACAATGGACTATTATCTTGCCACCTGTGACATGAATTGTCCTTCAGAGCATTATGCTAAACAAAATAAGTCAAAGAAAAGACAAATAGAACATGATCTTACTTATATGCAGAATCTAAAACGGAAACAAAAAACTGAAAAACTAAGCTCATAGATACAGAGAACAGATTGATGGTGTCAGAAGCCAGGGTGAAGATGAATAAAATGGGTGAAAGGAGTCAAAGGGTACAAAGTTCCAGTTACAAATTAGTAAGTTATGGGGATGTCATTAATGTATGCATGTTGACTAGTTAATAATACTGGACTGCATACTTGAAAGCTGCTGAGAGTACATCTTAAAACTTCTCATCACAAGAAAAACAAACTTGTACCTATGTACCACAACAGATGTTAACTAGACTTTTTGGTGATCATATCACAATATACACAAATAGTGAATCATTACGTTGTACACCCAAAACTAACCTAATATTATATGTCAATTACAACTCAATAAAGTAAATATTTTTAAAACCCTGTCAGTAGTTTTATAAGGGATCAAAAAAATTGGTCCTCACTAAAAATTCTATCTGAACAGTTTCTGAAAGATTGGATAACTGAAGTACAGTAACCTACATCTTGGGTAAAAACTGCTGTTTAAAATTTTAACCCTGCTATTCTGGCTTCTGTAAACATTTGCTTGCTTAAATAATAAGTAAAATAAGACTACTCCCATTCCAGAGAGGCCATAAACTATGCCCAGACAGAGTTGTTATTGCTGGTGTCAGACCAGGCCTTGAGATACAATCTCACAGCCCATCCCAGCACACAGGACTTTTTCTCACAAGGTCCAGAAGTCTAATTCCAAATTTGGAAAACAAAGCTGAAAACATATAAATAAGGGAGACTTCCACCATATTGGGCCCCAGAATTTGAGAAGCGAGTTTTCCTTTGGGCCCGCTAACGCTAGCGAACAGGACTCCAACTAAGTTTGGCTTATTGGTTAAGGCAGTGATCGGCAAACTGTGGCTCTGTTGACTAATCAGTTTGCAGACCACTGCTAGGGAAAAACACTTAAAAAATATTTTAATAATGTACTAATGTCTTTAATCTGAAGTCAAAACTTCTGGTAAGGGTAATGCTTTATGCAGTGGTTGATAAACTCGTTAGTCAACAAAGCGGCAAAAGTTGGCTCGCAAGCCATAGTTTGCTGACCACTGGGTTAAGGCATCTTCTAATTTACAATATAAGGTAACCATTTCTGCTTATCATATGAGTAGAAATTTTTAAACATACACAATCAATAGGCTGAAAAGAATCTTCTCATACACTGTAAGCATCAATTAACCATTTTAGAAAATAATTTGTGCTTTGGGTGCAAACTTCAAAAATGTTTGACCCATTAATTCCATTTCCGAGAATTAAAAATAATTTAAAAACAGAAAAGGCTGGCCATGGCTAGGTAGCTCACCCATTATGCTAAGGTTGCAAGTTTGATCCCCAGGCAGGACACATATAAGAATCAATCATTGAATGCATAAATAAGTGGAACAACTAATCTGTTTCTCTCTCTCTCTCTCTCTCTCTCTCTCTCTCTCTCTCTCCCTCTCCCTCTCTCCCTCTCTCTCTCCCTCTCTCCCTCCCTCCCTCCCTCCCTCCCTCCCTCCCTCCCTCCCTGAAATCAATAAATATTAAAAAATTGAAAGAAAATTGATTAGAGGGTACATAAGTTATATACTTCCAAGGAACCATTTAAAAAGCTTTTTCAGCCAAAACCGGTTTGGCTCAGTGGTAGAGCATTGGTCTGCGGACTGGAAGGTCCCAGGTTCGATTCCGGTCAAGGGCATGTACATTGGTTGTGGGCACATCCCTGCTAGGGGGTGTGCAAGAGGCAGCTGGTCGATGTTTCTCTCTCATCGACGTTTCTAGCTATCTCTCTCCCTTCCTCTCTGTAAAAAAATCAATAAAATATATATTTAAAAAAATAAAAAAAATAAAAAGCTTTTTCACAGAAATATGCCTTTGATATAATGTTAAGTGCAAAAAGGTTGAAAATTACATTACCAAGCATGATTTTAAAAGATACATACATACACACACACAAAGGAAAAAATTTCATAAGAAAATGCACTCATACATATGCACAGAAATAAAAACTAAAGAGAAATTCATTCAAATACTTGACAGTGGTAGGATTATATATGGGTCTATGTTCTTTTATACTTCTCTGTACTTTCCACATTTGTATAGATGATCATGCTTTAGTTTTATAACCAGAGAAGAAAAAACTTAAATATCAAGGAATTTGTGATAGGTAGTCAGCACATTCTGTTTGGAAAAAACTGTTGTTTAAATACCATTTTCCAAACACATGGAACTTTTAACTGGTATAGACAGTAAGTTTTACTTCATACTCAGTTCTAAGAAGTCAGAGGAACTACAAGAGCAATTCCCACCTCAGGAAATAATTTAAAACATTTTACATGTATATGGAAAATACAAAGCAGTTCTTTCCTTATTACCTTTATAGTTCTGTCAGCAGATCCAGTAACAAACCACTGATTTCCAGGTTCCACAGCAATACATCGAACCCAGCCAAGATGCCCACTGATCACCTGTAATCAGAATGTAAAATGAGTAGATACATAAGTTAAAGGTTATTCAATTTCATGTTATCACATGTAAGTTAAAAGTTTATTTAAATTTAAATTGACCTCCAACATCTTCAAATGATAAAAGCCTAATATGCTGTCTGCCTGTCCAATTGGCTGTTCAACCAATCAAAGCATAATATGTTAATGATATGCTAAGGCCACTCAACTGCTTGCTATAATGACCGCCAGGGGGCAGACAGTCGACTGGTTGACCAGTCACCATGACATGCACTGACCAGCAGGGGGCAGACACTCCGACCGGTAGATTAGCTTGTTGCTGGGGTCTGGCTGATCAGGACTGATTAAGATGGGCTGGATACACCCTGGAGCCCTCTTGTAGCTCCTCCCCAGCTAGCCAATCTCACACGTCCCTCCCCAGCCCTGATCATGCACCAGTGGGGTCCCTTGGCCTGGCCTGTGCCTTCTCGCAATCTGGAACCCCTCAGGGGATATTAGAGCTATTTTTGGCCTGACGGCAGAACAACTGGTCACTATGACTTGCACTGCCCACCAAGGGGCAGATGCTCAATGCAGGAGCTGTCCCTTGTGGTCAGTGTGTTCCCACAGGGGGAGCACCACTCAGCCAGAAGCCAGGCTCATGGATGGTGAGTGCAGCAGCAGTGGCGGGAGCCTCTCACTGGAGCTGTGCTAAGCCGTCAGTCAGACATCCCGAGGGCTGCTGGACTGCGAGAGGGTGCAGGTCAGTTGAGGGAACCCCCTCCAGTACATGATTTTCCTGCACTGGGCCTCTAGTAAGATTTTAAGACTATCTGACAACCACTGGCCCATTGTGGGAAGATTCCTGCAAGAACAGGGCTTCCGGCTGGCTTCCCTCTTGCCACCGCCACTTCTACTGTCTCCCCCACTTCTCCTGCTGCAGGGCTGCCTATGCTTTCTCTCTTGCAGCTGCCTTGCTTTCCACTTTCCCTCTCTTCCTTCTATGCTGTCTTCAGTCTTCACTCCTCCCTCCCTCAGCATATGCAAATTTACCGCCATCTTTGTTTGGGTTAATTTGCATACTCACTCTGATTGGCTGTGGGGGTAGCGAAGGTATGGTCAATTAGCATTTTTCTCTTATTAGTGTAGATTAGAGTTTTGAATGATATTAAATACTAAATTACCTTCAGTCAATGAATGAATGCACAAACTGTGGTATAGCTATATAATGGGATACTACTCAGCAATAGAAAGCAATGTATTACTACTTGCAACAACTTGGATGAATCTCAAAGGCATTAAGCTGAGTGAAGAAAGTCCCAAAGGGAACACACTGAATGATTCCATTAATGTGACGCAGTTGGAAAGACACAGTGATGGAAAACAAATGGTCTCCAGGGTTGGGGAAGGGTGTGGATATAAAAAATGGAACTTCTATATCCTAATTATGGTAGTGGCTACCAAAATCTAGTATAGCTATTAAATTTATTAGCTCTGTATACCAAAAGAAAATCTATTTTATTGTATGGTGTTCTGAAAAGTGTAACATACTTAAATTATAAGTAACTATGCAACTTCCCTACTATATACATTTTATTTTAGATCTGGTACAATTTAAATCATTTTAATTTACTATAATTTAAAAGACAATCAGTAGAGTGAAAAAAAATGTACTAAAATACAGTTTTTCCCCTTGAGCTCCATATTAAATACCTCAAGCACATTGTTAAATTTATTTCGCCTGCTCTCCAGATTTAGTAGCTTTCTATCAATATTTTATACAAAATACAAATCTGCTTTCCAATATATTTTTTTAACATAGTGCCTAAGCTCCTTCCATTACCCAACCTCAGATCACTTTACCAGTTCCCATTTTCATTCCTTTTCCTCCTTACTCTATTCATAGCTCTTATCAATTGGGAAGTAGTGACCACGTTTCATGTAGTGGAATAATATAGAGATTCACTCACCCTGTAGAGTTTCCACGGTGGGTGCCACTGGGGTTTTGGCATTGTCGGGGCCTTCTTTGCCATGAGTGCAGAGTTCTTGGCATTGCCACCCTCCATAACAGCCTAGGTGTGGAACAGATTACATTATTGTTAAAGATATCGCTTTTAAGTTTTCATGTTATCAAAAATGGAAATGTGAAGAGGGGATTTATAAAAGTTTTCTCAGAAATGGAAATTCAAAGAGGGAATTTTTGAAAGCAGCTCCCTACACCCCATGAAGAGAAAGGGCAGCTAAACATGTTTGCATAGCTAGAAAATGAGTCTAAGATTTCTAATAAAAACTGTATTTTATATATGTTAATTTAAAAAAGCAATTTAAAATCAGAGAGGCAGAACATTGAAGTTAAGAGTATATATCACTGTGCATAAGTCCAAAACCCAGCTCTACTAATTAATAGCTGACTGACCTTGGGTAAAAATTATGTAACCTATGTGCCTCATTTTTAAAGTGACTATAGTGTATTAATACTATTGCCCTTCATTGCCATATTTTAACATCATTGATTTAATACTGCAATGAAGTCGTCCTATCTTCCCCCAAATATTTCAATACTCCTTTTAAAAGGCATTCTAGCTAATATGCAATCTACTGTTACAGTACCCATTTATTGAAAAATACTCAAGTCCATAAAGTTTCAACCATCAAGAAGCTAACATTTCTTCCTCCAAAGAAGGCAAAAAACCTGAGCAGAGACCTGAGAATGGAGACTAAAAACAGGATGTGGTGGGAGGACTACAAGTCCAATAACTTCATAAAGTCAAACCAAGTGCATAATATGTGAAGAAGTAAAGCTGACACTTATTTCCAGTGACAGCGTGTTTTCAGGTATTCTTTCTCTAACCACTTCTACCAATAACAGTAGTTGCCATTTACTTGTAGATAAACTTTTAGTACTCAACTTAATTGTATAAATCAACTGAGAGTTTAATTTAAAAAAAGGCTTTTCATATCTAAAACATACTAATACAAGTCTCAGAATAAAATTTCTTGTATTTTAAATAGTGGATAATAAAGAGCAATGTCACATTATCTTCACCAAAATAAATATAAAAAGACAATGTGTTAGCAGACACAGAGCTAACACAATTTTAAATTCTAAAAAATATGTCAATTCATTAGCAACTTAAATTTTTGGGAAACTTAAATGGAATAAAGAAAAATTAGGCAACATGTCTCAAAAGGTAGACACATGCAGTGTGATCTGACACAGAGAAACTTACCAAAGTCATCCCTGCAGGCTGCGAACGGTCAGAGCCTACAGCAGGTGCAGCACGATTGGCATCAACCCTGAGGCAAAAAAATATCAGATTCTAAAAATTTAATCACTCCAATCACATGTTCTGTAGAATGAATTTTATTATGTTAAATTTTTATAAGCACTGATAAAGAAAAATGACCTGTAATACACTTATAAACAAACAATTTTTAAAATGAGGGGAAAAAATGTGAACAGTGAACAATGCTTGCAAAGCCCTGATAATGAGAAGCATATTTCATACCTGGCCTGAGAAGGAGGTAATGCTACAGCTAAGGACTGTGCAGCTGATTCACTTGGCATTCTTTGGATCTTAGTATCTGCTGTTAAAGCAACCCCTGTTAAAATTTCAAACACACACAAAAAAAGCCTGTTAGTAGCCATCTTTGTTTTTATTCACATGCATTTAAAATAAAACACTGGAGGAAACCATACCAAAAAGGTAACAGTGATTATCTCCACGTGATGATATTGCAAAAACCGATTACGTTTTGTATGTCTTTTGTCACTAACTTTTTACCACAAATATTGCCTAACAATATATAACTCAAATTTAATTAATCTCAATAAGTTTGGTATTAGCAAAGTCCAAGACAATAAAGTTAAACTTCTATAATCTTGGGATATTACCATCAGATATAAAAATTAAACATTTCCCTAAATATTAACAGAATGTTTTTGAAGAGTAAATGTATAACATACAACAAGCAGAAATTCTCCTATCCTTCAATATAGTAATTCTGTACTCTAAAATTACTAGAACCTAAATATATTAAGATTTTTATCTTCTACCCTGTTATACTGGCCACTCCATTTGTGTGCCAATTCCTCCATACATACACACCAGGAAACATTTCTATCATAGCTGCTTCTACACTAATGCTTCCTACTATCATTTTTATAAGCTTATGATATTTATGTCTGCCTAAACCTCCAAATAAGCTTGTCTCAGTCTGGAACAGTCTTATTGTCTTTGAATTCCTAACCAAGTGCATAAAAAAATATAGATGCTTAACCATTTGTATACCATAAGCATCTATAGTCATAAGTGGCGGACCTTTTTAAATTAAATTCAAAATATTGTTGCAGTTAACTAGCTAAGTATATTTGCCAAATAAATGCTTGTGATAACTAAATATTAGTTCATTATCATCTAAAAAGTTATGCCTGGCTATTGAACTTATTTTATCTGCTATGAGAATCATATATTAACTCATTCACAGAAATACATGTGACAGTAAGACTTTTTCTATATGTAGCTCACTTACCAGGTCCTGATGGATAGGGATGGGTACCTGTCACCAAATATTCAACTTCTTGTCCTGAGAGAAAGAGAGAAAAAGAAAGAGAGATAGGTAGAAAGTTTTATCAATGGCAAAATTTATTTTACATAATAGTATCACCTTTTTTAATGGATTAAATATTAAATTTCAACCAGATTTCTAAATATTTCACAACTAAACCCAAGCCTCAGAATAAGGTAAGTCGATCATTTTTGTTTTGACTTCTAAAGATCACGTATATAGTGATTTCCTTGACCATTTGCTAACATGTTAAGAAAGTTGTGCATTTACCATAAAGCAATGGTGTGTAGCGATCATCCTATAAAGTAATAGTCCACTCTGGTTTTTCTTCTAAGCAAATGGTTTCCCTGGGGAATCCTGAATTATTTTTATTCACTATAACTTCAGTACTTAATGTCATCTTTCTGAAAAAGAGATAGACAGTCTCCCCACATATTAAGAATTTTTCCTTTAATCTCCATCATGACCTTCTCCATATCCTAAGAATTTCTGCCATCATTATACTACCACTTTTCCATTTCCTACAGAAAAAAATCTATCAACTTGTAATCTCACTCACTACTCCAATGAGGAAATCAATATAGGTATAGGTGTTAAAGAGGGTTTGGCTCTAATTAGTCCTCCCAGGAGGGGTACCAATAACAGATTTCATGTATCTATTTTTAAAATTTATATATAAGTCCTTACATTTCTGACAATGCCATACTCACCTTGATTTGCAGGATACTGTTTATGACCATATGAATCTGATGCATTCTGAGGACCTTTCTCTTTAAAATTTTCTTTCAAAGTAGGCATGTGCAGCACAGGACCATACTCATTCCGTAGCTTGACTGCCATTTTTCGTTTGTGACTATTTTAAAAAGTTATAAGCATAAGAATGTATCCTTAAGTTCTTTAAATATATCCCCCAATATAAATGCATTCATGGACAGCCAGGAAACAAGTACTTAAATAGTTTATTATGTTCATCTAATCATGTAGAAAAAGTTTCTATAAAAATTTTAAAGTAAAACTGCACTTTAAAAAGTTCAAAATTTCCAAGTTGATTTTCCCCTTTAAAAAGAAATGTTTTTATTAATTTTTAGAGAGGTATGAAGGGAGATAGATAAACACTGATGAGAGAAAAAAACATCGATTGGTTGTCTTCTGTATGTAGCCCGATTTGGGACAGAACCCAAAACCTGGACATGCACCCTGAGCAGGAATCGAATCAGCAATCTTTTGGTGTATGGGATGAAGTTCAACCATCTGAGCCACACCAGCCAGGGCTCATTTCCACACTTTAATTCACAATCCACCACATAGAATCCATCTAAATATTGTTGTAGTTTGTAAATCAATGATTCATGAGGTATCAAGGATCTGATTTTAAAATATATAGAAACTAAAACATCTTTAAAAAAACCTGGAAGTCAATATATTTTCCTTCAAATGTCTAAATATAAAAATATAGTGAAATTTTTCTAGTAACCTTTCCTGAATATATCAAAAAAAGTTAGAACTAATCAAAGTACTCAGTTAGTTCAATCATTATTTTTCAATTGTAACTATATTGATTTAAAAATAGTCCACCTTAGCCCTGGCATGGTTCAATGTATGAGGAGGTTGCCGGCTTAATTCCCAGTCAAGGGCACATGCCCAGGTTACGGGTACTTGCATATGGACGTTTCTCTCTTTCCCCCTTTCCCTTCCTCTCTTTCTAGGGGGGAAAAAAAAAAAATCAATAAACTATTCTTTAAAAAAAAAAAAAATAGTACACTTTACAAATTAAATATAAATGCTTGTTTGAGTAATTAAGAAAATTTTTAAAAGAAGGGTAAATGGCAAAAGAGGAATGTTGCACATAGTGTAAATCCCAGATTGGAGCTGGACATGTAGAACCAAAAATATGCTACGAAAAATCTTTATCATACTAATAAAAAAAAAGATGGGAGTAAAAGTACAGTTCAGCTCAACAAGGCTCTGAGAACAGCAGGAGAGAAGCTGAAAGCATTCAAAATGACTGATTATAAAATATAACATATAAAAGGACTCTCCTAATTACTGAGTGCTTATAAAATGCAATTAATTGATTAATGTACAAAATAAGGCAAAAAAAAAGGTCAGATCAGCTTAAATTATACCCTAACACTACTCGTTACTGAATACATCACTTATGTCTGTAGTGTCACTCACTAAACTCTAAAGGCTCCCCTCTCCCTGCTCTCTTCCCCCAATATTAGAAATTTAACTAGTCTAGCAATTAAAAAGGAAACTATACCTACCTCTCTTCATCCAAAGGCACAGGTTTTCCATTGTCAGCTACAAACATGTCATGGGTCCTCTTCAATGACCTGAACACCAGTGTATGCACAGAATGTTTCTGTACCTCCTAGAAAGAAAAAGTGTAATTACATGTCCAGCTACAAATTACACATATCAAACCTAAATTAAAATCAAATTAATTATTACATGTTTAAAAATGTAAAAAACTTCGCACCACTCACAACTATTTATAGCAAGCTATGGCAGTCAAGTTCAGATAAAAAGATGAAGCTCCTCTTTGGCTAGAGCCCCAAGTTGACCAAGTGAGCGATGCTTAAAATTAATCATCCTATCCTATAATAAAAGAGTAATATGCAAATCAACCGAACTGAGACCAATGGTCGCTATAATGCACACTGACCACCAGGGGGCACACGTTCAACACAGGAGTTGCACCCTGGTGGTCAGTGTGCTCCCACAGATGGAATGCTACTCAGGGGCCACCGCTGGCAAGCACAGCAGCAGTGGAGGGAGCCTCTCCTGCCTCCTTGGCAGTGGCAGCACTAAGGATGTCTGACTGCAGGCTTAGGCCAGTTGTGGGCCTAAGTTGGCAGTTGGACATCCCCCAAGGGCTCCCAGACTGCAAAAGGGTGCAGGGCGAGCTGAGGGTCCCTTTCCCCCCTCCCCAAGTCACAAATGTCATGCACTGGGTCTCTGGTTTATTCAATAAAAATGTACTGAGCTACTACTATATGTCTGGTAGGTACTGTGTTAAGAGCTATAATAGAAATAGCATGATGAAAAGACAGTCTGGCCCCTGTGCTCAAGACAAATAAAAGCAAGCAAAACAACCTAACATTTTAATAAGTACTATGAAGGAAAGAAGCAAGGGACCAGAAAATGGAGCAAGAACTTAGGATATGATAAAAGATCTCTCTGAAGTGGTATTTAAGCAGAAAAGAAGTTAGGCCTTGCACAGAAAAAAAGTAAAAACAATCCAGGCAGAGACAAAAATGCCATGAACAAAGGTGTTCAGTAATGCAAATAATGCCAGGGGCTGCACAATAGTTACATATATTCAATGAGAGGATGAGTTGGGAAGCAAGATAAGGTTGCAAGGGTGGACAGACGAGGTGCAGGTCAGGTTGATTTTTTTTTAAAGAGCACTGCAACCCTCTGTATTTTCGCTCTAATAACAAAAGGCTAGTAAAGGGTTTTAAGCAAGAAAAGCAGGACCAACGTACATTTTAAAACATATTGGCTGGGGAGAAGAGGAGCTGTAACAAAAAATGGAAACAAGGAGACCAGCTGAGAGCTAATTCACCTGTCCAGGAGAAAGATGCTGCTGCTGTGAATTAAGGTGATGGCAGTGAGTATAGATAAAAGTCAAGAAATAGTTTTGAGCCCTAACGGGTTTGGCTCAGTGGATAGAGCATTGGCTTGCGGACTCGAGGGTCCCAGGTTCGATTCTGGTTAAGGGCATGTACCTTGGATGCCCAGAATGGAGTGTGCAGGAGGCAGCTGATCTACGTCTCTCGCTCTCTCATCGATGTTTCTAACTCTCTATCCCTCTCCCTTCCTTTCTGTAAAAAATCAAAAATATATATTCAAAAAAATAGTTCTGAGAAAACAGAGACAAGGCTTGATTGTTCCAGCTAGGGGAAAATGCACAAATTCAAGAATGGCAGATTGTTCCTGGGGAACCGCTGGAGTAAGAGACACAATGAACACCCAAGAAGACCAGTCTCATCGGACAGGACCCTGCGGACGCCGAATACCAGCGGTCGGAAGCAGAGAGAAGGCCCGCCCCCGAACACAGGACCCACCACCAGTGCCCCAGGCTCAACTCAGAGCTGCAGGCATCATCTCAGGCTTCCCGCTCGGACGCCACCTCCGACCCGTGCTCTCACCCAGCCTCTCTCGCTCCAGAAAGCCGTGGGACACCCGGCCACGGCCACAAACAAGCCTCCCTCGCAGCCTCCACTCTCCCTGGAGTCGCAACACACTCGACCCTCCACGCCCGCCGCCAACGAAAAACAGCCCCAGTATTTCAAATACGCCAGCACCCACGCGTCACCCTACCTCGACCATGATGCTGCCGTGTATTCCGAGGCTCCGGCAGCAAAGACACTAAACATCAAGGCAGAAACAGCCGCCACCGCTGTGCAGCCTCTTCCGGAAACGGGGCCCTGGCGCCGGATGTGACGTAGCCCCGCACAGCGCGCGCAGGTCCCGGGCTAGGGGCGGGCCTTCCTCTTCCCGGCATGCTCGGGGGCGGAGGCCCAGGCTCCTGAGGAGCCCAGGCTCCTGGAACGCGTGTGTTTTTAGGAATAAAGAAAAACGGGGTGGCGACGCGCGTTTGCCAACTTGAGTAGATGAACATTTCACTGGCTTGCCTTTTTTCTTAACTGAATCAGTTCCACTGATCAGGACAACCCCAGGGCATCCTGAGAGGGAGGGGAAAAAAAATCTATCAAAAGTATAGCAATGTGAACCGATTATCTCATTTGGAAATTCATTAAGTTTTAATTAATTAAACCCATTAATTAAGGTGCAATCACTCTGAATTTGAGTGTGAGTTGTGCCGAGAGCTAATTTTCTCTGGCAATGGTCGCTGATGGTAGGGCTTGCAAGGAAAATGCCATAATTCTAAAATACATGCTGTGTATATAATTATAAAGGTAGTAATAACTATACAATAGAACACGGTTTTAAATGGCAATAAAGTTATAGAAATGTAAGCAAGGCTCTAATACATCTGGAAATATAATAGTCTTATTAGGTCTATTAGCTTGTTAACCTTCCTCTCCCCCTCAAATATATATATATAAATCCAGACTCATGAAAACATTGTAATGATTTTGGTCATTTGGATTAGATTGTGCTACAAGTTTTAAAAAGCTCTTGAATTCGCAGAATTATACACTTGAAAGTTTTAGAGCTCAGTGACATGTATCTAGACCAGGGATCCATGAATTACCTATATTGTATGCAAATTTTGTGTTAAAAATAAGAACCTAAATTTTGTTCTGGTGAGGGAGGAGATCTGTAGATTTCTTTGGATTCTTAAAAGGATCTAGGACCAGATTGAGAATCCATGTCCCAGCCAACACCAGGGTGTCTTATTTGAGCAGTAGGGGTCGCTGTTGCTCTTCATAAGGGGAGGAGGATTTTTCCTTAAAGCTGATGGGAATAACTTAAATGTAAACATTAAGTCTGCTATGGTGAAACCAATAATACAAATTTAAAGGAAGGCCTCCTTTCTTTGGTTAAGCTACTTTTTAAAAAGCTCTCCAATACTGAGATCTCTTTATTCTCTTTCAAATAATTGTGTGCCTTTGAATAATGATAGGGATCACAAGAGTAGATTTCATTGTCAATTTTTACACACATTTTATTGGGTCTTTTTATAGGAAGCTTTTTCTCATTTTTATGCTCATAAAAATGATAAATATTTTTTCTTCTTCCTTGATCACAAATCTTAACCACCCTCGTTGGTATGGCTCAGTTGGTCAGGCAACAAAAGTTGTTTCTGCCCTGGCATCTACTGTGGGCTGGATTCTGAGGTAGGGGGCATGTCAGAGGCAGCCAATCAATGTTTTGCTCTCACATTGATGTCTCTCTCCCTCTCTCTCTCTAAAAATCAATTTTAAAATATTTATCAAACACTAATTATGCAGAGTTGTTTGGTTCAATGTCCTTTTCACTTTTTTTTTTTTTTTTTTTTTTTTTTTTTTTTAGATTTATAATGCCTCACTAATTCAAAAGAAAGAAATGGTGAAAGTTTTCATTTCTTTTGGAATACCTGATGTCAGAAATAAAAAAAAGAATACTTGGACAGTCTGTCTTTCTAATCATAGTAAATTTTAAGAAATGTGTTCCAGTTATAGATGAATATTAAAAACATTCTCATTAGCCAGCCACAAAACTGGAATTTCCACTATCACCATTATTATCCATACTTACTTTTTTTCTGAAAGTACTAATCATGCAATTGGATAAAAGATGAAATAAGTGGTATAAAACAGAAAATAATGAAGCAAAGCTATTTGTCTTTGCAAATGGTATAATTTTATATCTGAAAAAAAAAAGGAATCAACTGGAGAAACTGTTGGAAATAATAAGAAAATTCACTAAGGTATCTGAGTACAAAAATAATATTAGAAATCTCAAGCTTTCATATATGTAATTAAAAATATAACAGGGAAAACCATTTTATAATAGCATTAAATGAAAAATTTGCAATATAGATTTTAAGAACTTAAGGGACATTAAAAATATTTGAATGAATGAAAATGCATACTTTATTATTGGATTGGATGTTTCAAAATAATAAATGTGTCTATTGTGCAATTAATCTAATCCTGAGAGAATTTTACAGAATATAATGTTAATTTTTAAAAATATTTATATTTTATTGATTTTTTTCAGAGAAGAAGGGAGAGGCATAGAGTATTAGAAACATCAATGAGAGAGAAACATTGATTAGCCGCCTCCTGCACACCTCCCACTGGGGATTTGCCCGCAGCTAAAGAACATGCCCCTGACCGGAATCAAACCTGGAACCCTTCAGTCCACAGGCTGATGCTCCATCCACTGAGCCAAACCTGTCAGGGCAGAAAATATTGTTAATTTAATTCAAGAAATAATTATTAATGAAAAAAATTTAACAAATATCAATAAGATACTCCAAAATAAAATAAACATTTTTATTTTCTACAGTTTCACTGCTGGCACTGTGTACTTAAGTATAAAAACTGTTAATGATTTATTGTTTGAAAATACAGCTTATTTTCTTAATGTGCAAGTTATACTATAAAAAATAATCAATCTGATTCCTAAAAATTTCATCTTAATTTTCCCTTTGGATTAGTTTAACACACCTTAGAAGCCATCTCAGCCTAAGTAACAGGGAATAGGTACTATTAGAAGGACATCAGGTGTCTCAGAAGAATGAAATGGTCAAGTTTAGAAGTTTTGGTTATTTCTGCTGCTGGGGTTGATAGACTTTCTCTCTAGAATGCTGCTATGAATATGATTGGGTAAGAAGTCAGAGTATCACAATATTAACAGGACCACTCGTGCATTTTAGGGGTCATTCCCACAGAAGGGGACAGAACTCCAACAGGTGCTCATTAACCTTTGTGGTCTCATTAGAGTCCCAATGTGACAGAAGCAGAAGAGCATCTCTGGATGTTCTCTAGCTCTTGTGATTGGCATTGGGTTGAAGATGAAAATATCCCATTTTTCCCAGATTGCCATGCTCTGTAGCAATCAGTTCCCTTAAGAAAAACAAAGTGGCATCTTCCAAGTCAAGAGAGACTCTCCACAAAAGACAAGAACTTAACCCCATCTCACCTTCCCTGCTTTCCCATCGTGGATGGCTAACCAATTACAATTGTCACCCCCACACTGGCCTCTCAGGCTTGCCCATCAAAGCTCTGGTCCAAACAGGCCTCCAACTCTTTAGTATTATTTTCCCCTTGGATAGTGGTTTTCAAACTGTAGCTCAGGATACAACTAGAAAAGTACACACCGCGTCTAACAATGGTTTAGTATAGTTCCTCAAAAGCTATGCCTATTTAGAAAGAAACAACATTTTATTTTATTCACTCAATTATTCACTAATTCATACACTCAGATCTTCTTCAACAGATATTTATCAAATATCTTCCATGTGTCAGGTGTATGATATAAACCATACAGTCATTCAAACCACGCATTTCAAGTCCAAAAGCCTTTTCCATGTATATCTCTTTTCCCTCTGAAGGAGGTTATATCCCTAAGTTACTGTTCTCACAGCATCATCTGTCCCTGTCTGAGGCACTGTGCATCTTATAAGTAGTTTTCATTTTCTGTCTTCCCTTTGTGGGGGCTAAAAAATAATACCCTCCCCCACCTTCTAAATGCTTTTAGCTGGGCTAATAAATTAACAGAAACAGATTGCCAGGGAGAAATAAATTTTAATACATAAGCATGAAAATTCCTAAAGACAGTGAATCAAAATTGGGTGTATATGTGTATATGTCATTTTGAACAAGGAGAAAAAAGGGAAATGGGATTTTAGGTTTCAAAAATGAAGGTGGACAATGTAAATGTAACTGAGGAAGTGTAGGACACACATGTCAAGCAAATTTTTGCTTCAGTGGGACAAGGGTCATCTAGCTACCAGTCCCTTGGTGCCTTCCTATCTACCATACTTAATTCAACTTAAGCGAAGGTGGAAAAGCTAAGATTTCCTTTATGGAGCAGGCCTTTCCATCTGAATCTGTTGGGAAGAAAAGGGAGAGGGTTAAAGGGTGGTTTTTTGTTTTTGTTTTTGTTTTGTTTTTTTTGTTTTTTGTTTTTTGGTGTGTGTGTGTGTGTGTGTGTGTGTGTGTGTGTTTTATGAGTCTCTTTTTCTTTAATAACCAGCTAAAATCACTATCCAAAAATGCAGATTTAGGGTGCCAAAACTTTGGTGCCCTGCTCCATATAGACATAAAATTTTATGAGAATGGGGTTCAAGTCTCTCCAGGTCACCAAAGTATCCTTGGCCCCTAGCACACTACCTGGCCACAAATGGGCGCTGTACACCATAAACACGAATTGCCTTGTGCTCTACAAACTGGGCCTGGCATGAATTGTAAAACTATCCAGAGCAAGTGCATTGACAGTCAGTGCCCACAAATCTGCCCTTCCTGCCAGAGAGCTGCTGGGCAGGACGAATGGTGTTTTCTGTCACTGATTTACTGCCCTTGACTTATGTAAGAGCACCAGCGAATATGAAGAACACTGCACCCTTGACCTGAAATCATAACTGAACAAATAGTACTCCCTTGCTTCTCCACCAATCGCATCAACATTTGAAAGAAATTAAATATTTTAGTTAAGCAAAATCTCTGCAAATATATTCTTTTTCTTTGAAATCATGGTAAGGTACTTTATAATATTGGGCATTTTAGTGTGTTAGTGTAACTGTCTATAACTCTACAGAAAAACAATATCTAACAAGGACTAGGATGAAAGAAACTCATAGTTATTGTCACTGCATCATGCATGCCTCTCATACAGACAGGAATATCCACATCCACACCCTTATAGAAAAAGTGAAAATGTAAGTGGAAATAAAGGCTAAGAATATGTGTGCCAGGATGAGACACTGTAGTCCCAAAACAATGAGCTAGCCAAAGCAACAACAACAACCAAAGCCAAAAGATACCAGTAAATTCTTCGTGTTTGTATTTGTTGGGCAATATGGTGTAATGGGCACAGAGCATGGACTGGAGGGACAGACCTGGGTCAAGTCCTCGTTCTAGTACTTACTACCTGTTTGCCTTGGATAGTTTACTTAACTTCTCCTAGCCTCAATTTCATCATCGGTATGAACCTTAGTGGTTCCAAGAATTAAATCAGGTAAGTGATGATCAGCAGTTGGTCTCTGAGGCAATGTTTCAATGAAGCCTAGTGCACTCATCCATTCTGCAATTTTTTATTGAATGTCTGTTTGGCTCACCAATGTATCCCCTTCCTTCCCACCTTCCTACTGGTAATGGCAAGAAGGAAGGCCAGTTAGAGTAGAAAAAAGTGGGAATGCAAAGGAGTTTCCATTTTAATGTTGTACAAGATTTTTTAAAATGCTAGAAAAAACTTAAATTAAACTTCTGGAAATTAAATAATGGTTTCATTGCTAGTTGATGAAATGTAAATGTGTAAAAATAAATTAATAATAGATAATGTCACCTCAAAAGAAAAATATATATTTTGGTCTTCTTTACAGTCTTTTTATTTATTTTTATTGAGGTACAATTGATATATAATAGTCTTTTTTTTAAATAGTTTTATTGATTTTTTTTACAGAGAGGAGGAGAGAGGGATAGAGAGTTAGAAACATTGATGAGAGAGAATCATCGACCAGCTGCCTCTTGTACATCCCCTACTGGGGATGTACCCGAAACCAAGGTACATGCCCTTGACCAGAATCGAACCTGGAATCTTTCAGTCCGCAGGCTGACGCTCTATCCACTGAGCCAAACCGGTTTCGGCAGTCAGTCTTTTTTAAGTCAATAAGAATCTGTTATCATTAAAATAAAATCCTGCCTAGATTATTAACATAAACTTTTCCTCAGTTACATTTTGAAAGAAAATATTCTTGCATCTTATTTTAATTAATAGACACATACCCACATTTGCTTTTTCAGTCAGATTGTATATTCTTCTAAGAAAAGTTAAAACTAAACTAGTGTTAAAGTACAGATAACAAATGGGACACAAATATAAAAACCCAATAAATTCTTTTACTTAATTTAAACATAATACTTTGTTTCTAAAAATCTGAGTCAAAGAAATTTGTGAAAGCAACCCATGCTACTCAGAGGAGAAAGAAATGTAGTGAGTCATATCATTATCAGGAGTCCACTTCAAAGCATTGTTTAAAACATACTCTCCTGGTGCAAACTGCTATTTACATTTTATCTCTTTTAACAAAAGAGAAAGTTGCAAATTGACTGTACTTCTGTGACACCCACCAGCCAATCAGGAGTGTGTATGCAAATTAACCCAACAAAATGGTGTGTTAATTTGCATGCACAGGCACAGAGCAAAGAATGAAGACTGAAGGTTCCACTGTGGCTGGAGCCAAGCCTGAAGGCTGAAGGCTTCATTCTGCTGTGGCCTGGGTGTGGGTGCTGGAGGAAAACTGGTGCTGGCAGCCAGGGGAAGGTAGGCCTATTGCACGAATCTTTGTGCAATGGGCCCTAGTCTTTTTAATAAAATCTCTTTAAAATTTTAGTAAGATTGTTTCACATTCTGTACAAAAACATCCAGAAAATCCTACAAAGCAGTGCACTTGCTGGGATATGTGTTGTTGATTTTGGTTTCCCTATTGTTTCTTGTAAAAGTTGTTAATCCTAATTTCAACAAACAAATAAAATGAGAGAGATGGATTTGGTGGCTTATAGGAAATAATGAAAATAAATGGGCCACAGTTAGTGTTTCTACATCTATTTCAAATAGATGCATGAAAACTTCACTAGTGTTAAAATAACATTTTTGTAAATACAATTTAATTATAAAATTTAAAATATATATAATATAATGTATTATAATTTAACTAAAATGTCAAATATTTATCATCATTGTAATAATGATTTTGATCTGTACTCTACTAATTATCTTAATAATTTTTAGTATTTATTAAATACTTTAACTTATATTAAGGAAGGACAAAATATGAAATGTGGCCAGAACAAAAAAAGAAGACAAGACATTTTAAAAAATATATATTTTATTGATTTTGTACAGAGAAGAAGAGAGAGGGATAGAGAGTTAGAAACATTGGTGAGAGAGAATCATTGATCAGCTGCCTCCTGCACACCCCCCCCCAGGGATGCACCTGAAACCAAGGTACATGCCCTTGACCAGAATCGAACCCAGGACCTTTCGATCCACAGACCAACGCTCTATTCATTGAGCCAAACTGTTTTTGGTGAAGACAAGACATTTTTTTAAAATTTTAATCCTCACCTAAGGGCATGTATTTATTGATTTTTAGAGAGAGAGGAAAGGAGTGAGAAAGAGGAACATTGATCAATTACTTCACTTTTTCATTCCAACCCAAGCTGAAATCCTGGTATATGCCCTGACTGGAATTGAACCATGACCTCTTAGTTCATAAATCAATGCTCACTTACTGAGCCATGCTGATTGGGCAAGACATTTCTTTTTGATTTTTGTGTTTCGAAGCATAATGTATGAATTGTAATTTTTTTGTCCTGATAATGTCTATTAATAAACACATGGTGATATAATATTATTCTTGATTTTAGTGGCTTCTTTTAAAACTGAATTACATGATTTCTTCGAAACATAAATTTTTTTGCTATACCTTTAGTGAGCTCACAATGATAGTAGTGGGTGCCTTGTGAGTAGGTCTAGTTGTTTGTGCTGGGATTAAAAATATTTTTTCCTCACACATTAACCAGGAAATCTGATACACATCTCTTTTAGGAATGTCCTAATTTCCCATCATATGGTCCAATTAAATGAATTGAGGAACTTTGGTATTTCTAAATTTGGTCAACAGAGAATAGTTGAATGACGAGTAAATAAGTCTTGCTCGGAAGATGTTGCTTAAGTAGTAAAACTGTTCAGCGAACAAGTGTGTGGAAAAAAATTAAATATTAACTAAGGAAGGTAACCATTTCTAAAGTCAAACCCAACCGAGGATTCAGGAATATATATAGAACTGAAGAGCTCTCTGTTAAGTTCACAAGCAAAGGACGGTTTCTTGGAACTTTTAAAAATTTTAAATCATGAAACATCTATTCCTGCTACTATTATGTGCTCTTGTAGTTCAGTCCCAAGTTTCCACTGACTATGACAATGCGGTAACTTTTTAAAATTTATTATTATGTTAGTACTAATATTATCAATATAAAATATCAATCATAATCATATTTATTTGGATGAAATTAACCTCTATTTTAATTATGAAATGGAACTTTCAATTTCAGGGACTCATTTTATTTAAAGAATGTTACATAGTATTTCTTATATAAAAATGAAATAATAATTTCTTGTTTTCTGGTTTATCACTTTCATTTCCCCAGGATGAAGATGACACACCTAAGGTAAGATGTGTTTTTCTCACTTGTTATCCCAAGTACTATGAATTTTGTTTAGTTCTAGCAATACATTACTAAATTATGAGAATGAAAATCTGAAAATTCTGCAGACTATAAAATAACAAAACTTTACTTTTTTTAAAAGTAAAAAGCTGTGGTAGATAGGTTCTATTTAATGAAAAAGAGTCATATATAACTCCTGAAATTGCTGGCTATTTGTGAATGAAAATTACAAACCAAATCTAAAAGTGGAATAATATATCAAGTGCAGTGATAGAAAATTAAATATTGTTTTTTTCAAATTAAAAACATAAATAATAGGTAGCATTTATTGCTATTATTAATGATTATAAAACATATAGCCCAGATTAACTTATTCATTTGTATATCAGTTTCCCAGTTTGATTTATTCATTTGTAGAACAGTTTTTTGTCAAGTACTATCTTTGCTGATATCAAAAATATAGAAATGCATTTAGGCAAGTGAATACTTAAAGAATTTTATTTATTTTTTTATTTTATTTTTTTAAAATATATTTTATTGATTTTTCACAGGAAGAGAGAGGGATAGAGAGTTAGAAACATCGATGAGAGAGAATCATCGATCAGCTGCCTCTTGCACACCCCCTACTGGGGATGTGCCCGCAACCAATGTACGTGCCCTTGACCGGAATCGAACCCGGGACCTTTCAGTCCCCAGGCCGACGCTCTATCCACTGAGCCAAACCGGTCCCGGCTGAATACTTAAAGAATTTTAATTTTGATATCAAAATGGATCAAATTTCTCATGTATAACAGCATCATCACACTAGAAAGAAAAATACACAGTAATGTTTAAATGGCATGATTAATTTTGAATCATTTGTTTAATTGGAAGGGGATCTAAGTGATCTAATTATTAAACTATACATACAAAAATATTCTTGTCTGGTTAATTGCCTTATGTAAGAAAAATGTCAAAAATTTGTAAAGTACTTGGCTAAGCATTTTGATATTCTTGCTCACAAACTGATCCGTACAGAGACAGTTTACTAGTTTAGGTTTTCAAAATGGATTTTCTACTGTTAGTTATTTTAATAAGTGGTCTTCGTAAACCTAAATACCCGTATAAATCTTGAAAATCTTTTTTATTTCTTCTTCTCTATAATGCTAGATCATCAATGCTACCTCTCTAATAGCTCTCTGAAATAAAAAGAAAATATTTTTCCTTCTGTTATAAATAGATGTGTAATATACAAATGTTAGGACAGAGGACCCACATCTTCAAAATGCAATATGTATATTTCCCCATACCTTCACACTTTATTATTTTTATTGCCATCACAAATAACAGTTATTATAGTGTAAGTCCAGCAATTAAGCAGGGGAATCAGGAACCAACCTGTCTGGATTGAATGCCTCACACTCTCCAAGATTAAAATTCCAAATAGAGTCAGTGAATGACTTCCAGGCTCATATTAGTCTCTGTTTCAAATCTTTTGCTAATTTGTAATTAAGCCTGAGAGGGTACAGTAACTGACAAAGACCATATGATAACATAGTTAATTCAAGTCAACCCTTTTTATATTGCAGTTCACATCTCCACTTCATTATCTTTTAATGTAATTTTTTAAGTTAACAAATAATTTTAATCACAATGCATATACCTTGAGAATTATTTTAAATATGAAAAAAGTCATGTTGTTTGATAAAGAAATCATGTAAGAAATTTAATTAGAATGGCTTATAAAATACTTTTGTTGGTAGAAGATAGGAAGAAGATTGGGATTAGTAGTGGACAAGCCATTTAAACTATAGTACCTAGTACGTGTGATTGCAATAAAAATAATAATGAATACTTATTTTATGCCAGGTATTCTTCTGAGGGTATCCTATGCAATGAATCATTTAAATCTCACAGATCTAACTATTATTATCCCTATTTTACAGATAGGAAAATGGGCACAGATAAAATAACTTGCCCAAGATCTTATAGCTAGGAGGTCATAGGGTCAAGCCAAGCAGCCTGGCTTCAGAGTGCCTTTTTCCTCTTCAAACGTGTTAGAGTCAAGGGTTGTCTGATAAGGAATAAATCCATATTGCTTTAAGATTTTTTATTTAGGGCTTATCCAAATTAACCATCAATTCATAAAAACTAAACATGGGGAAATGATCAATGATAATTATAAAATTTAGTAATCCAAGTAGCTTGAGAATATTTATTCTTCCTGAAAATATAGATTTCTCAATATGTTGTGTCTTCCCATGTATAGATATCATGGATCTAAGATAATTACTATTCATAATATGACACAGCTTTATTTTAGAGCCTCTTTTTTTAAAAACTACCAGAGATACAACAGCTTTTTGCACAGTTTTTCTTTCTGCTGTTACTGAAGAGACCTAAGCAACCTATTAATTTATCGAATACCAACTAATGCAGCTGATGGACCTTACGCAAATCATCAGTGTGTGCTAACCTAAACTATAACATGAGGATTGTTGGAATAGTTACATCTCAAACCTTCCATAACACTCTACGTGTTGTTTCTGTTTCTCTGAAGAGCGGTTTGGACGCCCGTGGTCACCGACCCCGAGACAAGAAGAGAGAAGGGGCTCCCAGCCTGAGACCCGTCCAGCCTCCTATCAGCGGAGGCGGGTACCGAGCTCGTCCGGCCAAAGTAGATGCCAGGCAAAAGCAGGTGGAGAGAAAAGCCCCTGATGCCGGGGGCTGTGTTCATGCTGACCCAGATCTGGTGAGTGCCCTGAGCTTTCTCGCAGAGACAGCCTCCACGTTCATCATCACTTCCTAATGTTCCATTGGTCCCTGTCGCCACTGTAGTTATTTTGTTTGGGAGATAAATATAAAACAAACAAATTGAGCCTTTGGTTGAGGATTTCTTTCTGGTTTTTTGTTTGTTTGTTTTTTGTCTTTGTTTGGTTTGTGAGGTTTGGGGGGGTCTGGGCCCAAGATTACAAATGAGGACGCATGGGTATTGGCTTTAACTTTGAATTTTTCCCATTGCATTTGTTTGGGTGAGAAAAATTTCAGTTATTTATTACATCTATATTCACATTTATTCTGTGGTAAGGACTAGTTTTAATCTCCATCAGAATATGATGATGACTCTTGAATTTCCGGGCTTAAGGTAAGAAAATCAAAATGACGAGTTTTTATACTGGCTAATGATATCACTGAATTTTCACTATGTGCTATTTTCACCAATATTTGTAACTCAAATGTTTCATATAATGCCTGATATTTTCACTGTTTGCAGGGAGTGTTGTGTCCTACAGGATGTCAGTTGCAAGACACTTTGGTAAAACAAGAAAGAACAGTGAGAGACAAAGTAAATGAGTTAAATAATAACATGGAGTCTGTATCCCAGAGTTCTTCGACCAGCTTTCACTATATGAGTATGCTCAAAGACATGTGGGAAAAGAGGCAGAGGCAATTAAAAGGTAGATATACTTGTGTTTTCTGTTTGATTCTGTTAAACATTTGGGACTGTTAGATTGCCATGGCAATGCAGGATTGTGAGAAGATTAACATTTCTGGATTAGCCTAAACAACATCCACCATCTTTCAGTATGGGTCTGATTACCCTGAGGTTCGCACATAGTCACTTTCAGGTGCAGCTTGTCAAATAAGCACTATTTACATTCCCAAAGTGGCACCAGCAAGGATGACTCTCTATGAAGCATTTTTCTGGGAGTCCTCAATTTTAGCCATAAGAAACTTGTGACTCAGAAGACAATATTAACAGAGTAAAAATTTAGCTTTTATGTATTTAACGTTTGCTGTCTGAAGGTCTAAATGCTACTTTTTCCTTTTCTTCCTATCCAAAGAAATAAACCACCTATTGTATTTATTTTTCAGCATCTTTTTAACTTACAGCTAAGCTTAGTTACTAGGATAGTAGGTAGAATATTTGTTAATTTGTATATTCCATGGGCCAAATAATTTTCCCTAAGTACAACTACACATCATGATTGCCTGATAGTAACTCAGTGTCCATTCATTTACTCTCAGAAAAGCCAACTCACAATTATATGCTTGAATACTTTTAGTTTCTCAGGAAAAAAATGTGAATCATCCCTGCATAATTTCATTTTTCACATTTTTCCAGAAAATGAAAATGTAATACATGAGTACACCTCAGAGCTGGAAGCACGCCGACTATTTGTAGATGAGTCCTTGAATAGTAATATCCCAACTAACCTTCGTGTGCTCCGTTCCATCCTGGAAAACTTGAGAACCAAAATACAAAAATTAGAATCTGATGTGTCAACTCAGATGGAATACTGCCGCGTCCCCTGCACTGTCAGTTGCAATATTCCTGTGGTCTCTGGCAAAGGTAACTGGTTAATAAACATATTTCTGGAGCATTCCAGAAGAACTCACACTCTCTAAAAAAAGGAAACTGATAAAAAGCCCAGTGGATTTGCCCTACAGGTCCTGATGACAATACAGCACATCCCTAGTATGCTGTGCTCTGACGTAGCCTAAAACATTTGAAAGCTTTTTGATGGAGTGTATGATGGTACTAGTTCTACATGTATATGCACCCTTGCTTGAAGAGATGGCAGAACAGTGAATAGGTGCAGGGATTTCTCCTACCATGTGTTCTAGCAGTTTATATCTAGCAGATATCCTAGGACACAAAAGATAGAGAAGGGCTTTTTCATCTCCTTAGAACACATGTGTCAAACACAAGGCCCGCGGGCCAAATCCGTCCCGCCAGGCCTTGCAATGTGGCCCGCACCGCGCTGTCATCACTGCACTCCGCTGTGTTTCCATCACAATGACAGTTTATGACTGTTCAGTAAACCATTCGGCCCACGATTTAGGCTGGATTTTAGATTTTGACCCCTTCTCTGATTGAGTTCGACACCCCTACCTTAGAAGATATAACTCAAAACTGAGTTTGATTTTCAATAAAAGGAAGATTCAATTTCTATAAAATATTCCCAGAAGTCTAAATTAAAACACTTCTCAGGAACCTCTGTAATTATAAAGTTAGTGACTAAAGACCAAGTAAATATGTTGTAGCTCCCTGAATATAATGTTTCTTTATGGTTGCAGAATGTGAGGAAATTGTCAGGAATGGAGGTGAAACATCTGAGATGTATCTCATTCAGCCTCACGCTTCTATCAGACCATATCGAGTATACTGTGACATGAACACTGAAGGTGGAGGTAAATATTGGATAGTTGGTGATCTATTATTCTGTAATTATTTTGATATGACAAAATACTAGCAAATAAAACCTAGCTTTAACATAACCAACACTAGACAATTTGATTTGGAATTTAATGTCATATTTTAAAAGTTATAAAATATCTATAATCACAATTTGGAGTAATATAAAAAACTTGTAGTTTTTAAATATTTTAAGAGTTTTCTTATATTTGTTTCCTTATTTTATATATATATATATATATATATATATATATATATATATATATATATATATTGGAGCACTAATATAAGTGGGGATAAAATAAATTAAATAGACAAAGCATTCAGACATTTCTCTCAAAGTGGCATTATTTATTACTATTTAATATGTGTTGTTTTTTCTTTCTTTCTTTTCCCCTAAGGGTGGACAGTAATTCAGAATCGTCAAGATGGTAGTGTTGACTTTGGCAGGAAATGGAATCCATATAAACAAGGATTTGGTAATATTGCAACCAATGACGAAGGGAAAAAATATTGTGGTCTACCAGGTAAAAAACTGAGAGTACAAAATAATATCATTCTACTTACAATGTTTTTCCTTCTATTTATAAAAACATAGTGTTGGGAATCTGTGTTTAGGCATTTTAGGAAGTTAAGAAGAATTTATGAAAAGAGTGAGAAAGATAAAGGAAGAGAGGCAGTTTTTAGTTTCTAAAGGTTGTGTTTTTGGTGAGATTTTATTTTATTTTTCCTTTAGGTGAGTATTGGCTTGGCAATGATAAAATTAGCCAGCTTACCAACATGGGACCCACAGAACTTCTGATTGAAATGGAGGACTGGAAAGGAGCTAAGGTAAAGGCACGATATGGAGGATTCACTATACAGAACGAAGCTGGGAAGTACCAAATCTCAGTGGACAAATATAAGGGAACAGCTGGCAATGCCCTCATGGAAGGAGCTTCTCAACTGGTGGGAGAAAACAAAACCATGACCATTCACAACAGCATGTTCTTCAGCACGTACGACAGAGACAATGATGGCTGGTATGTGTTCTTCCCTCCTGCTTTAAAAGCCACCACTGATTTTTTTACTTGGGATCATTAATGATATCTAACGTTAATAACTCTCATTGCTTGGGTGGTTACCACTTGTATCAGCCACTGAAGCTCTTTATATATATATATATATATATATATAATTGGGTTTTTTTTGTTGTTTTTTTTGCAGAGAGGAAGGGGGAGGGACAGAGAGTTAGAAACATCAATGAGAGAGAAACATTGATTAGCTTCCTCCTGTACACCCCCTACTGGGGATGTGCCCATAATCAAGGTACATGCCCTTGATAGGAATCACATCTGGGACCCTTCAGTCCACAGGCAGACACTCTATCCACTGAGCCAAACTGGTCAGGGCTGAAGTATACTCTTTATGTATCATCCTGATACGTTACCAGTATGATTCTTATTAGACAAGTGAAATTTAGAGAGATTAAGTAATTTATCCCAAGTCACACAACTATGAAAGATAGAACTGGAATTAGAACACCCACGCCTTCTGAGTAGTGAGAGTTTAAATACATTTCTATATACACTAATAAAAGAGAAAGAGGCAATTTTATTGTAACTTAGTGATGCCCACCAGCCAATCAGGAGTGAGTATGCAAATTAACCCAACAAAGATGGCAGGTTATTTTGCATACACAGGTGCCAAGAAAGGGGGGGCGGGGCGGGACACTTGTGTGGTTGCCATGGTGATGATACAGGCATTCCACAATGCCCCAGCTATTCCAGGCCTTCGGGCAGAATAGAAAGGTGGAAAGGTGGCTCCAGGCCAGGTGAAGGTGGTGCCAGCAGCCAGGGAAAGAAAGGCCCATTCTTTTTTTTAAAAAAATATATTTTATTGATTTTGTACAGAGAGGAAGGGAGAGAGATAGAGTTAGAAGCATCGATGAGAGAGAGTCATCGATCAGCTGCCTCTTGCACACCCCCTACTGGGGATATGCCCGCAACCAAGGTACATGCCCTTGACTGGGATCGAACCTGGGACCTTTTAATCCCCAAGCCGACGCTCTATCCACTGAGCCAAACCGGTTTTGGCAGAAAGGCCCATTCTTGCATGAATCTTCATGCATCAGGCCTCTAGTATTTCTGTTTGAATATGTATATTGAAACTCTCATTTTGTCCTTCAGAGTTCACTAATATTAAGAGATTTGAAATCTCTCATTTCAGTATAAAGTAACAAATACAGATGAATTTGTTACAGAGGCCCAATTCTCTCTCTCTCTCTCTCTCTCTCTCTCTCTCTCTCTCTCTCTCTCTCAGTCTCTCTCTCTCTCTCTCTCTCTCTCTCTCTCTCTCTCTCTCTGCCTCTCCCTCTCTTTTTGCTACAGGGCAGAGAAGATCTTTGGTGTATTAGTGTGTGACTTTATTTATATAACTAAAGGAAAGGGGCACAGCACACAGCATTCTTTGTGGGTGCTTTGGATGGAATTAACTGGATGACTCTATAGTTGTAATAACCCCAAACACATTTTTCCCCCCAGGGTAAATGCAGACCCCACAAAACAGTGCTCTAAAGAGGATGGTGGTGGATGGTGGTATAATAGATGTCATGCAGCCAATCCAAATGGTAGATACTACTGGGGTGGACAATACAGCTGGGACATGGCAAAACATGGCACAGACGATGGAGTAGTCTGGATGAACTGGAAGGGATCCTGGTATTCAATGAAGAAGATGTCTATGAAGATCAGGCCCTTCTTCCCACAGCAATAGTCTCCCAAACATAAATTTTTATTCTTCCCTGTGTAACAACATTTTTGTATATTATGTCATTGAAATGTTATTTCATACATTATATCCCTTTAAAATTGTCAAAGAGCTGTGAGTGTGACTTTTTGGAAAAAAGTATTTGGGATACGTGAAATTAAAATTAGGACACCATTTTCTTTTGCACTCTTCATTTATATTGCTCACCAAGAGGCAACTGAAAGGACAGTTGTGGGTAGTGGGTGTTCACAATTTCAATTCCAGTTGATAGTGAAAAGTTTCAAGGTAGGAAGAGGAATTTTCCATCTTTGTTGTAGAAAAACTATGAGGCAACTTAAAAGTCCATTTGGTAAGCTCTATTTATTTATCTAAGGTCTGCCACAGAAAACTTTCAAAACATTTTCAATTAAACTAGTCCCTGTTGCAATAAAGTACTGTTTTCTTATTTTGTAACCACATAGACAATGACTTAGGCTTTGAACTCTTAGGAGAAGAGAAGCATTCACAACCTCAGATAAGCTCTTAAATGGCACTGAACATTTGAAGATTCAAAATCTCACTCTGCCCGATGGAAAACCCCTATGCTATCAGCTATCAGGACTTTGGGATCAGAGTTCCCAAGAGGACAGTTAGGATCAAGCCTTCACCATTTGGCTTTTTTGGGGGGAAATAGCAAGGTAGGAAACAGTAGTTGATTATTGTCCCTAATTAGGGGAAATTAGGCTTACTGGCCTCAATTTGGTTTTTGTTTTTCACATAGCTACACCAGAACTAAGGTAGAAATGGATTTTTGGTTTTTCTATGTCTCCCCAAGAAATAAATGTATCAACTCAACTTTATTTTTCTTGAATTCTCCCATCACTTCACTCCAACTGTCCTTGGCAACCCCATGACGGTAGGCCCTCCTTTCTTCGGCTTAGCATAACTGCCATTGATTTTCATGACCTTTATATCTCAGCAAAGGTTGTTAAATCATGGAAATTTTGTCACTCTCTTAATTCCTCACCAAATCCAACTTCAACTTTTACCTAGCTTCCCTGCCATAGTTCTGTTCTACCCTAGCTATAATTGTCTATTACTCTGCTATCACATATATTGTCTTAATAATAAAAAAAATTCTGACCAAGTTACTTTCCTGCTTAGTGTTATTTCTGTGTTATCTATGTTTTAAGTCCAAATCCCATAGCTGGGGGTGAAAATAGTCCCAGCACTGCCCTCGGCCCCCACCCCACCCCCTTCCCTACACATCTACATTTTTGTCATAGTGAATTTTTCACCATTCCAGGAAAGGTCAGGGCCTTTTATATGATGCCCTCATTGATAACAGTGTCTTTCCCAAAAATTCTTTAACGAATTGTTCTTCATTCTTTTCAAGCCTCACTTGAACTGCAATTTATCTGTGGCACATACCTTCCTCCTTTACTGGTAATGAGCTCTTGCTCATCTGTGATTCTAGAATCATCAGCCTCTGAGAAAGGCTGATTTTCATAAATTTGGATTTAACAAACATCTTGGGTAATTCTTATTAAAATATACAGAACCCAGCTGAAACCAGTTTGGCTCAATGGATAGAGCTTCGGTCTGCAGACCAAAAGGTCCCAGGTTCGATTCCGGTCAAGGGCATGTGCATTTGTTGTGGGCACATCCAGCTGGTCTATGTTTCTCTCTCATTGATGTTTCTGGCTCTCTATCCCTCTCTCTTCCTCTCTGTAAAAAATCAATAAAATGTATTTAAAAAATAAAATTAAAAAATAAAATATACAGAACCCATTTTCCAATAAAGGTACAGACAGAAATTCAATATGCAAAATACTTGAAAGTAGACCTGTTGTATTAGGGCTGACTAGCAAAAGCCTACTGTATCCTGGGTGGCAGAGGGCAGGAACCCAATAAAAGGGCAGTGTCCCTCAGACCTTTGTTCAGCCCCCATATGCACTCACAGAGGATCTAAAGAATTCCTGGAACTTAAAGTAAAGCCACAAAATTAAAATATATATATATATTTTTATTGATTTCAGAGAGGAAGGGAAGGGGGAGAGAGTTAGAAGCATCAATGATGAGAATCATTGATCTGCTGCCTTCTGCATGCCCCCTACTGGGGCTCAAGCTTGCAATCCAGGCATCTGCCCTTGACTAGAATTGAACTGGGACACTTCAGTCCATAGGCCAATGTTTTATCTACTAAACCAAACCAGCTAAGGCAAAGGCACAGATTTTATAGTAGGTAATCTGATGGTCAATTCTCAGTTAATGTACAAATTGCAGGAGCATAGAGACCACTTTTGGGTGATAGGTACTATCTAGATCTCTAGAAAGAAGTAAGCCTTCTTAAGATATCATTTTCTAAGAAATGCCACATATGTGATAATTACCCTTTCAAGCATCACAATTTTGAATATAAATAGAAAGGGTGTTGCTTACTTAGTATCTAAAAAGGTGAACTCCTGACTTTTTGAAGATAATGAAAAAAGATGAATTGAAAATGACTAATCCCTCACTGTGGTATGAGAAGTATAATGTATTTTATTACATTATTAAGACTGAAAGTATGTCACAAACTATAAAGGATATCTGCACTTGGGATGTAGGCTTCCCAGTTCCTCTGCATTCAGGAATCAAGGAAAACTGCTCACCAATGTAACAAAGGAATTGCCCCACATGGGGCAGAAGTGTGGATGACAAGATGTGACCTCAGACAACTGACATTTCCGTTTAAACATTAACACCAAATATTATGCATGCTGATGGTCAAAACCTGCAGAGCTTATTTAAAGTACAACTTTCCTTGTGTCGACCAGGTTTATTTCATCCGTCTTTACATGGGAAGAACCTAAGGGGCTGTGTTTTCTTTTTAATTAATGTCCCCAAGAGATTCTGATCACTGGCTGAATTTTGGAACAACTGATCCAGGCTACATTTGCATTTACTAGTATCTGAGACTCCCATTTTTCTTATCTAGCATTTCCCCTCCCCCCCCCCCCTCTTCAAATGGTGGCCACAAGGCAGTATTTAGAGCAAGCCAACATCTTTGAAATTACTGTGACTTCACTGGTGACCACTGCCTATGTTGAAGATTTGACTGGCATTTAACCACAAGGTCTCCAAATGCTGGAACCACTATTTCTACTTTGGTGCCCCTCAGCCTCAGATGATTCTCTAGGTTGGACTATTAGATTTTTTTAAGGTATAGATGCTACCTACCATTTTTACACAGAGCTGAAATTAATGTCTGAATTCCATCCCTCTGCCCACTGAGGCAAGTGATTTGATGGTTCCTCTTGAGATTTCTGGGGCTCAACTCACACCAAGTCACAGTGTGTTGGTGGATAATTATGGCTAACCCTATCAAATGTTTATTTTAACAACATAAATACCATTTTAGATAATGAAAGCAGGATATATTATTTGCAAAAATTTGGGAAATATAGAAAAAAATATCAGTAACCCTCTGTTTATTCAAGTATTTTATTTCCTAAGTGATTAGACTGGAAGAGACATATGCTTATAATTTCAACACTAATAGAGAAGCAGCTAATATTTTGGTTTATGTTTTTCATGTTTTCCTATACATACTAGTGTTTTAGTACCTGAATTTATTACATTGGGTCATGGAAAATTTTCCATGTTATTTCATATTTTCTACACTATTCTTTTCTATAATATGCTTTTAATGACCATATAATATTCCATCATGTGAATGAACTCTAATTTAAAAAAATATATATCATTTAACATTGAGATTTTTTTGAACTTTTTCTAATAAAGATGATACTGAAGTTATCATCTTTCTACTTTGACCTTTATACACACACACACACACACACACACACACACACACACGTATAAAATATAATAAATATTATTGTTTATTTCCTCCTGGAAGCAGAATTCCTGAAGGAAATGGGTTTTGGCATTCAAATAACTCTCCAGAAAAATAGTATCAGTTTATCTTTGGCATTCAGAATTTTTTTTTTCTTCCTCACTAATGCTAAATGTTATAATTAAAATATTGACAATTGCTTTAATTTTTATATTTTAACTACTAGTGCAAGTAAGAGATTTCAAAATATTTAATGATCATTTGTCTATCTTTTTTTTGAGGATTATCTTTTATATCCTTTCCTCAACTTTATATTAGCATAATTATCTTTTATATGAATTCTTAACCATTATTTTTGTATGTAAGACAGCAATCAGTTACATGATATTACCCTCTGTTTATTAAGTATTTTATTTCCTAAATGATTAGACTGGGATAGTCATATGCTTATGCAACAAGTGTTAACTGGCACTAATATTAACCATTATTCCTTTTCTCTTCTTTTGCCAACTAATATGTGACCAGTAAGCAATATGTTTTTCATTTTGTATACTGACTGAATTATAGTTCTCTAATAACTTTTTATTTTAAGAAATTTCAGTCTTACAGAGAAATAACAGGAATGGTTTAATGAATACCTTGATGTCCTTCACCTAGCTTTACCGATTGTTTGCTACATTTGCTTTATCTCTCAAAAGGACAGACTTTCAATGTAGTTTTGCAACAGTTTATGTAGGCGTGCAACCTTGAGGTCCCTGACCTATTGTATATAGAGTCAAAGCAAATATTTTCTAGAAAATATTTTGCAGAGTGCTCTGTTGCAATCAACAGGTAGCCACCTTCCCCCCATGAGCAAATGGACAGAAAGAGCACTATTGAATAGCTGACTACTGTTTAATCAACTCAAACCTTACATTGTCTTGCCTCTGTGGTTTTGAAGTATGGCTTTTACAACTGGAAATGGAAGCATAATATCTAGGTCTTATATAAGAATTAATTTGAATCTCTTCCCCAGGTGCAAATCCCTTATCATACTACTCCCAGGTTTAAGGCCCTTGGACATCCTCCCCTATTAATTAAAGATTTTTATCCATAAAGGAGCTTTATAAAGCACATGGGATTCAATTAATAATAGGATGTAGGTTGAAATGCATAAATAAATAAAATATGATTTGCCAAAATGGTTTCTGTGTAAATTTCATTACCTGCAAGCAGATTGCATAATATTCATGGCTACCAAAATCTAAATGTTGCTTCTTCTCAAGTTGTTTCAGTAAATGTTGTGTTACTTTATTCCAATATAACTAACATTTATTTTATGATTTTGTAACCTGTGTGTACTTACATTAGTATG